TGTCTTCCTTTCTGATGTATATGACTTTCATTTCTTTTCTTGCCTTATTACACTGATTAAAAGTTCTAGCACTATGTTGCATAATTCTGGTCAGAGCAGACATTTGTGCCTTGTTTCCAGTCAGGGAGAAAGCATTCAGTCTTTCATTATTAAGTATAATATTTGCTGTAAGTTTTTTATGCATACTGTTTATCAATTTCTTTTAAATTTGTTGATACTTTATGTCCTAGAACATGATCTATTTTAGAATATGTTCCATAACATTTAAAAAGAATGCGTATTCTGTTGAGTGGAGTGTTGAGTGCAACTGTTGATCAGATCCTATTGGTTAATGGTTATCACTTAGTTCTTCTATATCCTTGCTGATTTTCTGTCTAGTCATTCTCAGTTCTTGTGAGAGGACTGTTTTACTTTGCAAATTAACTGTACTTTTGTCTGTTTCTTTTTTCATTTCTATCAGTTTTTGCTTCCTGTATTTTGTGACTGTTGTTTGGTGCATACACATTAAGGATTGCTATGTCTCCTTGACAGACCCACCCTTTTATCAGTATATAATGTTCTCTTTCTCTGGTAATTTTCTTCACTCTGAAGTCCTTTATTTGATATTAATATAGCCACTCTGCTTTCTTTTGATTGATATTTGTATGTTGGAGTGCCTGGGTGGCTCAGTCAGTTTAGCATCTGCCTTCTGCTCAGGTCCTGATCCCAGGGTCCTGGGATAGAGCTGCACATTGGGCTCCCTGCTCCATGGGGAGCCTGCTTCTCTCTCTCCCTCTGCCCCTCTCCCCTGCTTGTGCTCTCTTTCTCTTGCTCTCTCTCTCAAATAAATAAAATCTTATTAAAAAATATTTATGGGGCATCTGGGTGGCTTAGTCAGTTAAGCATCTACCTTTGGCTCAGGTCATGATCCCAGGGTCCTAGGATTGAGCCCTGCATCGGGCTCTCTGCTCAGTGGAAAGCCTGCTTCTCCCTCTCCCTCTGCCTGCCCCTCTGCCTGCCACTCCACCTGCTTGTGCCCTCTCTCTCTCTGTCAAATAAATAAATAAAATCTTTAAAAATATATATTTGTATGTTATATTTTTTCCATCATTTTGCTTTCAACTTGTTACATTGTTATACTTGAGGTAAGTTTCTTGTAAATAACAGAGTTAGGTCATGTTTTCTTATCTACTCTGTCAATCTCTATCTTTAAATTTGCATTTTTAGGCCATTTACATTAATGTAATTATTGATATGTAAGGGTTTAAATCTACCGTTTTATTCCGTTTTTTCTGTTTGCTGTTTTTAATTTCTCTATTTTCTCTTTCCTGCCTTCCTGCGGGTTATTTGAACATTTTTAGAATTCTATTTTGATTTATCTTAGTGTTTTTGAGTGTATTCCTTTGTATAGTTTTTTAAGTGGTTGCTAAAACCACTAGGGTAGGTGTGGCCTTTTTACCACTGGGCAATATGGAAAGTAATCACTCTCTTCTAGTCCTTCTCTAACACTATCCCAGGGGGAGGGAGAGGCGCACTTCATTATTACCCAGAGGAAATGGAATTCAAGGCTTACCATGTGGTCTCCATTGATACTGCAATGGTGGTGGTAGTGATAGGAGGGGGGAACAGGGGTTTGTTATTACCCTTAAGGAATGAAAATCCCTTTGGGAGTTCAATCACTGCTTGATCATCTCTGATAGCACCCTGGTGAGAGGTGGAGGAGGGAGGAGGGAGTTGCGGTGCCTCATTACAGCCTGGCAAGCATGGAAGTCTAGGCTCCCCACTCAGCCTTTGCTAATGGGGGCAGGCCACAGTTCTTTAATTTTGGAGTCAAATAGTTTTTCTCTAAACATTTTCCGTCTTGCTACGTGGCCTCTTTCCTGGTCATTTTGTTAAACAGAAGAGATGTTCATTGGGGCTTTTTTGTCTGCTCCCATTGGCATTTCCAAGTTATGGCTTCTTTAACCCCAAGCCTGAGATAATGAGGCAAAAAGAAAACCCAGGGAGCTAACTGCTATGTTGCCCCTTATACCCCAAGGTCCCAAAGTACCTTCTTCTCTCTACCTTTAAGAGACTGCCTTTGTTTGTTTTATGTATAAGGTCCAGGATTTTTAGCTGTACTTAGCAGGAGGAATAGGGAAAAATACTACTACTACTACTACTACTACTACTACTACTACTACTACTAGTACCTTTCTGGAAGCAGAAATTCTATAAATACTTTTAATGCCAACATAGTCACTTTAAAGGCCTATTAATCTTCTACCTGCTGTTATTCCATGGGTAGAAGCCTTTTTTTTTTCATGCTATACAGTTAAAAGTAGGTGTCTTAATCAGGGTTCTCTAGAAAAACAGAACCAATAGGAGATACATATCTATATCTATCTGTATATAAAAGAAGTAGTTGGCCTATGCACTCCGTGACTCTTGCAAGTCCCAGCATCTGCAGTGTGAATTGGCAAGCTGGAACCCAGGTTCCAATCCTAGTCGGAAGGCCTGAGAACCAGGACAGCTGATGGTGTAGTTCTAGTCTGAAGTCTGGCAGGCTCTAGACGGAGGAAGAGCTGATGTTTCAGTTCAAGTCCAAAAGCAGAAAAATTCTCTTACTCAGCAGAGGTTCAGCCTTTTTGTTCTGTTCAGGTCTTTATCTAATGAGGCCCACCCACATGAGGGAAGGCAATCTGCTTTATTCAGTCTACCATTCAAATGTAATCTCATCCAAAAATACCCCAACAGAAACACCCAGAATAATGTTTAACCAAATATCTGGGTACCCTGTGACCCAACCAAGATGACACATAAAATTAACACATTGTGCAAACATTTAAAAGCACAGGATTACCAGATTGGTTATTTGGACCTAAATATGAATTCTGACCAAGATTGCTCACAAATTCACATTTTGGGCTGACTTTGATATACATAGAGAAGTTCAAAGAGAATGAGTAAGGCCTTTTAAAGATTCAAAAGTGTATTTAAAGAGAGCAACCACTTGTTGGGAAAACTGGACAGCAACATGCAGAAGAATGAAACTGGACCACTTTCTCACACCATGCACAAAAATAAATTCAAAATGGATGAAAGACCTAAATGTGAGGTAGGAAATATCAAAATCCTAGAGAAGACCACAGGCAGAAACCTCTTTGACTGGCTGTAGCAGCTTCTTACTAGACACATTGCCAGAGGCAAGGGAAACAAAAGCAAAAATGAACTATTGGGACTTCATCAAGATAAAAACTTCTGCACAGTGAAGGAAACAATCAACAAATTTTGTCCACAGAATGGGAGAAGATATTTGCAAATGACATATCTGATAAAGGGTTAGTATCCAAAATCTATAAAGAACTTATCAACCTCAACACCCAGAAAACAAATAATCCAGGTAAGAAATGGGCAGAAGACATGAAAAGACATTTTTCCAAAGAAGACATCCAGATAGCTAATAGACACATGAAAAGATGTTCAAATCACTCATCATCAAGGAAATACAAATCAAAACCATGCTGAGATACCACCTCACACCTGTTGGAATGGCTAAAATTAACAACACAAGAAACAACAGGTGTTGGCAAGGATGCAGAGAAAGGGGAACCCTCTTGCACTGTTGGTGGGAATGAAAACTGGTGCAGCCACTCTGGAGAACAGTATGGAGATTCCTCAAAAAGTTAAAAATAGAGCTATCTATGATCCAGCAATTGCACTATGAGGTATTTACCTAAAGGATACAAAAATACAGATCCAAAGGGGTACATGCACCCTGATGTTTACAGCAGCGTTATCAACAATAGCCAAACTGTGGAGAGAACCCAAGTGTCCATCAACTGATGAATAGATAAAGAAGAGGTGGGATGTGTGTGTGTGTGTGTGTGTGTGTGTGTATGCGCACACACACACAATGGAATATTACTCAGCCATCCAAAAAATGAAATCTTGCCTTTTGCAATGACATGGATGGAGCTAGAGTGTATTATGCTAAGTGAGATGTCATTCAGAGAAAGACAAATACCATATGATCTCACTCATATGTGGAAGTTATGAAAGAAAATAGATGAACATATGGGAAGGAGAAAGAAAAAAGGGGGAGAGGGAAATAAAGTATAAGAGACTCAACTATAGAGAACAAACTGAGGGTTGATGGGGGGAGTTGGATGGAGGATGGGCTAGATGGGTGATGGGTATTAAGGAGGGCACTTGCTCTGATGAGTGCTGTGTATTGTACATAAGTGATGAATCATTGAATTCTACTCCAGACACCAATATTGCACTATATGTTCACTAACTAAAATTTAAATTAAAAAAAAAGCAGTAGGTATTTGAAGCATAGATATATAGATAGATAGATAGATAAGGAGAGCAACCACTAAAATCTGGAAGGCAGTATGGCATTATGGGAAGTAAGAGGCTATGATTGCTATGTTTCTTCAGTAGAGCTTTATAAACAGAAAAACTGTTAAAACTTTGATTTTTCCTAACTCTTAGAGTAAGGATTTCTTTTTCCCATTGTTGAAAGATTTAAAAAATTCAAAATAAGTGTTTCTCATGATCTGTAATCTTTTTGTCAGTCTTTTAACATTCCCCCTCGGGCTAGCACGCAGGTATCAAGAGCTACTGTTTTTCAGGGCAGACAGTATCTCTTGTGGAGAAGACTTTGGACTCAAGTAGATTTGGGTTCCCAGGTGTGTGACCTCGGGCAAATTGTTTTACCCCTCTAAACCACAATTTTCTTATCTGAAAGTGAGGAGTTTAATATCTGTAAAATTAGTTTAAGTGCTCCATAATTAAACATTCTCAAAAGTTAGACATCTAGATAATCTTCAGTTTTGCAGTTTTATGTATACGACTGACATCGGTGCTTAAATCTCCATATTTTGGAGTGTTCCCTTGAATTCAGCTTTTTAGAGGTAGAATTACTGAGTCAAGGGATAGAACCTTCTAGAAAGGTGGTACCAAGATTGCACTAGCAATGGGAGAAAGAAAGAGAGAGAGATGCTTTTCTAATTTTTAAACTTTATATTTTGTAGAAGCATCAGATGATGAAGGAGGAAGAGACCCAGAAATGATGCAGCAAGAGACAGTTCCAGTTCCTGCCCTGTCAAAGAAAACTGAACAGGTGACAGTACTGTAGGAGTCACAACTGTTAAATTCTGAAATCAGCTTCTACCCCTCTTCAGCATTCCTTGTTTAACATCAGTTGTTGATGGAATTTGAGGGAAGCGTTTATCTTCTTTGCCTTGGGAAAAAACCATGCTTCATTAATGATAAGCAAGGTCTATTTTTACCCTTAATATTTTTTTCAATATAAATGTATTTTATAATAATGATATCTTAGATTCTTGTACCACATTTTTACCAAAGATCCAGTAATACTCTGTTTGGTACAGTTCCTAGGAGAAGACAAATAGCATAAAAATATGTAAAATTATTTCTCATACCAAAGCATGATTACAGCACCGTGCCATGCTGACAGCAGGCTCCCAGGGTCTCATGTCTACCTAACATGAGTTATGGTCTATTGTATGAATATTTATCATGGGATTTCTACCTTCAGTATTACCAAAAATGGTCATTTGATACACTTTGCTTCCTGGACTTACAACCTTTTATTTTCTTCTTAATCTTTCTACTGACCACTCATATCCATTTGTAGCTTTTTCACATTATGTGTCCCTCAAACCTGATTGGTAACCATGTGTGATTTTTTTTAAGGATTATCTACTGTCAAACTAAAATTATCATCTTCTTCATAGCAATGATTTGTGGTCTTACTATTATTGTAAGTGGCCCTAAACTCATTCCCATGAGAGGATGACTCTACCCAGTTTGTAACCAGGCTCAGGATAATTGTGAGAATTGGTTTACCTACAAGCTGTGCGGCCTTAAGCAAGTTAAATTTTCTGTGCCTCAGTCTCCTCATTGGTAAAATGGTGATAATAAGTATATCTTCCTCACAGAGTTGCAGTAGAGATTAAATGGCTAATCCTTGGGATATCTGGGTGGCTCAGTGGGTTAAGCATCTGCCTTCAGCTCAAATCATGATCCCAGGGTCCTGGGATCGAGTCCCACATCAGGTTCCTTGCTCAGCAGGGAGCCTGCTTCTCCCTCTTCCTGCCACTCCCCCTGCTTGTGCATGCTCTCTCTCTCTCTCTGATAAATAAATAAATAAATAAATAAACAAACAAACAAATAGCTAATACTTGTTAAGCACTTCAAACAGTGGTTGGCAAAGAGTAAGCACCAAAGTGATAATTATTATAGTAAATAACACTTCATCTTCTTTATTTTATTTTTTCCTGGTGGGATGGGGGAATACAGAAAGATATACATATTTAATGTGTAATCATCTCAGTTTTCTCTCCAGCCATTAAATATTTTGCTCCAAAGCTGCATATCAGGTTTAGGTTTTGTTTTTTTCTTTTGCTATTATTTTACCTTTTTTATTCAGCTGTAATTAACATACAGTGTTATATTAATTTCATGTGTACAATATAATGATTCAACAATTCTATGCATTATTTACTGCTCACCATGGTAAGTGTACTCTTAATCCCCTTTACCGGTCTCACCCATCCCCCCATCCACCTCCCCTTTGGCAACCACCAGTTTGTTCTCTCTAAGCATCGTTTTTTGGTTTGTCTCTTTTTTTTCCCCTTTGTTCCTTTGTTTTGTTTCTTAAATTCTATATGTGAGTGAAATCATATGGTATCTGTCTTTCTCTGGCTTATTTCACTTAACTTTATACCCTCTAGGCCCATCCATATTGTTACAAATTCTTTTTTATGGCTGAGTAATATTACATTGTGTGTGTGTGTGTGTGTGTGTGTGTGTGTGTGTGTGTCACCTTTTTTCCATTCATCTGTGGATAGACACTTGGGTTGCTTCCATATCTTGGCTATTTACATAATGCTGCAGTAAACATAGGGGTACATGTATCTTTTTGAATTAGTGTTTTTTTTTTCCTTTGGATAAATACCCAGTAGGGGAATTACTGGATCATATGGTAATTCTGTTTTTAACTTTTTGAGAAACACCCATACTGTTTTCCACAGTGGTTGCACCAGCTTGCATTCTCACCAACAGTGCAGGTGGGTTCCTTTTTCTCCACATCTTCATCAACACTTGTTATTTCTTGTGTGTTTTATTTTAGCCATTCTAACAGATATCAGGTGATATCTCATTGTGGTTTTGATTTACAGTTTCCTCATGATTGGTGATATTGAGCATCTTTTCATGTGTCTCTTGACCATCTGTATGTCTACTTTGGAAAAATGTCTGTTTATATTCTCTGCCCATTTTTACTTGGATTATTTGGGGTTTTGGTGCTGAGTTTGTATAAGTTATTTATATATTTTGAATATTAACTTTTTATCGGATTTATCATTTTCAGACACCTCCCATTCAGTAGGGTGTCTTTTTGTTCTGTTGATAATTTGCTTTTCTTTTTGATGATTTGCTTTTCTATTCAAAAGCTTTTTATTTTGATGTAGTGCCAATAGTTTGATTTTGCTTTTGTTTCCCTACCCAAAGGAGACATATCGAGAAAAATGTTTCTATAGCTGATGTCAAAGAGATAAGTGCCTGTGTTTTCCTCTAGGAATCTTATGCTTTCAAGTCTCACATTTAGGTCTTTAATCCATTTTGAGTTTATTTTTGTGGATGGAGTAAAAAAGTGCTCAAGATTTTATTCTTTGTCAGGTAGCCGTCCAGTTTTCCCAATACCATTTGTTAAAGAGACTGTCTTTTTCCCACTGCATATTCTTGCCTCCTTTGTCATAGATTAATTGACCATAAAAACATAGTTTATTTCTGGGCTCCGTATTTTGTTCCATTGATCTACTGTTTGTGTGCCCATACCATACCGTTTTGATTACTATAGCTTTGTAGTATGTCTTGAAATCTGAGATTGCAATATCTCCAATTTTGTTATTTTTCAACATTGCTTTGGTTTTTCAGGGTCTTTTGTGGTTCCACACAAATTTAGGATTATTTGTTCTAGTTTTGTGGAAAATGTTGGTATTTTGATAGGGATTGCATTAAATCTGTAGATTGCTTTGGTAATATGGAAATTTTAACAACATTGGTTCTCCTAATCAATGAATATGGAATCTCTTACCATTTGTTTGTGTCATCTTCAATTTCCTTTATCAATGTTTTATAGTTCTAAGACTACAAGTCTTTCACCTCCTTGGCTAAGTTTCTTCCTAGGTATTTTTTTTTTAAAGGAAATTTTTTATTTTTTTAACTATTTATTTATTTTATTTATTTATTTATTTATTTATTTATTTATTTATTTATTATATAATGTTAGTCACCATACAGTATGTCATTAGTTTTTAGTATAGTGTTCCATGATTCATTGTTTGTGTATAACACCTAGAGCTCCATGCAATATGTGCCCTCCTTAATACCCATCACCAGGCTAACCCATCCCCCCACGCTCCTCCCCTCTGAAACTCTCAGTTTGTTTCCTATAGTGCATAGTCTCTCACAGTTCATCTCCCTCTCTGATCTCCCCCCATTCATTTTTCCCTTCCTTCTCCTAATGTCCTCCATGCTATTCCTTATGTTCCACATATAAATGAAACCAGATGATAATTGTCTTTCTCTGCTTGACTTATTTCACTTAGCATAATCCCCTCCAGTTCCATCCATGTCGATGCAAATGGTGGGTATTCATCCTTTCTGATGGCTGAGTAATATTCCTAGGTATTTTATTATTTTTGGTGAAATTATAAATGGGATTGTTTTCTTTTTTTTTAATTTTATTATGTTATGTTAATCACCATACATTACATCATTAGTTTTTGATGTAGTGTTCCATGATTCATTGTTTCCATATAACACCCAGTGCTCCATTCAGTATGTGCCCTCTTTAATACCCATCACCAGGCTAACCCATTCTCCCCACCCCCTCCCTTCTAGAACCCCTCAGTTTGTTTCTCAGAGTCCATAGTCTCTTATGGTTCGTCTCCCCCTCCGATTTCCCCCCTTTCATTTTTTCCTTCCTAATATCGTCTTTTTTATATATATATGTGTATATATATATATATATATATATATATATATATATATATGATTTATTATTTCTTTCAGAGGTACAGGTCTGTGATTCATCAGTTCTACAGAATTCATAGCACTCGCCATAGCACATACCCTCCCCAATGTCTCACCCAGCCACCCCATCCCTCCCACCCTCCACCACTCCAGCAACCCTCAGTTTGTTTCCTGAGATTAAGAATTCCTCATATCAGTGAGATGATATGATACATGTCTTTCTCTGATTGACTTATTTTGCTTAGCATAATACCCTCTTGTTCCATCCACATCATTGCAAATGGCAAGATTTCATTTTTTGATGGCTGCATAATATTCCATTGCATATATATACCACATCTTCTTTATTCATTCATCTGTTGATGGACATCTAGGCTCTTTCCATAGTTTGGCTGTTGTGGACATTGCTGCTATAAACATTGGGGTGCACATACCCCTTCGGATCACTACAGTTGTATCTTTGGGGTAAATACCCAGTACTGCAGTTGCTGGGTCATAGGGTAGCTCTATTTTCAACTTTTTGGGGAACCTCCATACTTTTTTCCAAAGTGGCTGCACCAGCTTGCATTCCCACCAACAGTGTAGGAGGGTTCCCCTTTCTCCACATCCTCGCCAACATCTGTCATTTCCTGACTTGTTAATTGTAGCCATTCTGACTGGTGTGAGGTAGTATCTCATTGAGGTTTTGATGTGGATTTCCCTGATGCCAAGCGATGTTGAGCACTTTTTCACGTGTCTGTTGGCTATTTGGATGTCTTCTTTGGAAAAATGTCTGTTCATGTCTTCTGCCCATTTCTTGATTGGGTTATTTGTTCTTTGGGTGTTGAGTTTGATAAGTTCTTTATAGATTTTGGATACTAGCCCTTTATCTGATACATCATTTGCAAATATCTTCTCCTATTCTGTCAGTTGTCTTTTGGTTTTGTTGACTGTTTCCTTTGCTGTGCAAAAGTTTTTTATCTTGATCAAGTCCCAATAGTTCATTTTTGCCCTTGCTTCCCTTGCCTTTGGCGATGTTTCTAGGAAGAAATTGCTGCGACTGAGGTCGAAGAGGTTGCT